TGCATGAGTGGCCTCTTTCATGTCAATGGTCTGCAAGATTGTCATAATGTTCTCCTGGGATAGGGCAGTTTTACTATCGGCATTTGCATACTTAGAAATTGCAGGGTGTAACAGTAAACACAATGTCTTATGGCTGCACATAGAATCTTGGGCTGTGTCTACATTGGCAAGATTTTCCACAAAAGCACCCCCTTTTGCGCAAAAACATGCTGCCTGTCTACACTGGTGGGGAGTTCTTGCACAAGAACACTGACGTTCTAACGTGTGAAATCAGGGCTTCTTGCACAAGAACTATGATGCTCTCGCTCAGGAATAAGCCCTCTTGCGCAACTGTTCTTGTGCAAGAAGCCAGTGTAGACAGGCAACATTAATTTCTTGTGCAAGAAAGCCCGATGGTTAAAATGGCCATTGGAGCTTTCTTTTGCAAGAGATTGTCTACACTGGCACGGACGCTCTTGCGCAAAAGCACATCTCTTGCGCAAAGGCACATGCCAGTGTAGACGTTCTCTTGAGCAAATACTTTAACGCAAGAACACTTTCCAATGTAGGCGTAGCCCAGATGTCTTGCAGCTGCATGTAGAATCCGCATGTGGCCCTCCACTGTGTTGGCTTCTTCAACTTCTTGCGTGCATATACTTTCATGGCAAGTCAGAGTTCCTCTGCTTTTACTTTTGAGTGAAGCAGAAGGATGTAACTAAATATAGTCTATTCCTCTCTCAATAGATATAGACATTTATACTCTTCTTTTCTCTTGCGTATCATATAACATGTTAGAACAGCTCATTATAAACTTGACTATCACTCTTACACAAATTTAGAGCCCTGCACAGATACAAAATTTATATCCAGTGACGTGGATACCTGTGGACATAAATCAGTATCCACAGATCTGCAGGGCTCCACCAGGAACAACAGTGGCCAAAGCAGCTGCTTGTCAGGTGGTCACTCCCAGGAGCCAGCTAATCCTCTGGTAGGGCTGTGCTGCCCCCGGCCCTCCCCTTGGAGTGCCTTCCCACAGGAACAGCTGCCGCTGAGCCTGTTGCCATCCCAGTAGCCATACTGGAGAAGCTAGCAGTGCAGAGTTCTATGCAGATATGGATTTAGATGCACGGATATACGTTTTGTATCCACACAGGGCTGTCCTAACCATTCCCTCTGATATTTTATACCTGTGCTGACGTAATGGATGTTAACTTTTGGTAACTGTTCTCAGGGAACTGATAATAGATTCTATCCAATAACCAAAACAACACGGCGATTGCTGCCATTCTGGGTGTGGTAACAATTAAGATAAAATCTCATTATCAATAAAAATCATATTTCTGTATCAGAGCTACATTCTGTTGACTGAAAACTTACATCAAGCTCACTGCAGCCTGAGTATCTGTGTTAGTCGGGGTGACCCTGTCTATCCCACACAAGCCCCAGGGGCTGAAGGCTGCTCTAGGACATTTCTTCCAGCAGTTGAGAAGTTTCCCAAGGGTCTATTACGATGTGGAACTGGGGAGCAAGCAGATGGGGAGCAAGCAGTGAAATCCAACTGAGAACCTCAAGGTCTAGGCCATTTGTAGTCTTTCCACTGAGAGGTAAGAAAAGCTTCTTGTGGGCAAAAGCACTCAGTTTATTTCCGGGACTCAAGCCCCTCATGGCCACCGCAGATACTCACTTGTTGAACAAGTCAATGGTGATGGCAACTACTTTGACGCTTAAAATATTGAAATTACTTTCTTGTGTATGGAAGAAATATTCTGTACAGAAAAGTATTTCAGGACCAAATGTTCATACAATTACAATGGAAACTTTCGCAGTGGTCCCTAGAATGTCTACTATGGAAGAATAATTCTGGTAGTTTTTGTTATTATCCTCATCTTTTATTTCCCTGCTAGTTTAGTTGTAGGTATTTCTAATTCCAAACTAGCACAAACATTGTGCCCATTTTATGGTAATACTCTCTACTTAGCACTAGCCCCTTTAAGCTCACCAAAATTTGTATCTCAGTGTCAGAGATGAAAAATTGCCTTTGAGTTCAATACACCTTCCCCTCAATGCATACTGGTAAGACATGAGGTTTTCAATATTTTACAGCATGTATCAAACTATTTTATTGCCACTCATGCAATAATTGCTGCCTGTTTTACATTCAGCGATGCAGGATAATATCAAAAAAATAAAACTTTTATTCTGTCTCATTACTAAATTATGAAATTCAGTGGAAAGCCGGAGGGCACAACTAAGCTGATTTTTCAATGACAGCCATTTAAATCATCTGCTGAAATCATAATTTAATATAGGAAGAAGAAACTCTTAATTTAAATCCTCAAGTTTAATCTTGATTTCCTTTTGTACTTTTTAGTTATTTTCCTAAAAAATGTTGATTGCATTTTTTCCAGTGTGAATCAACTTTGTTTCGAAATTTAAGCTAATTAATCTAAAAAGGATGTAAACCTAAATGAAAGGTTCTGAAATTATCTAAAGAAAAAGCTTCAATTGATCCAAAAAGAAAAACTTTTCAGTTTTGTTAGTTTGTGAGATTTCAACTTTGTATCCTGATTTGAGACGGGAAGAAAAACTCAAATAATCAAAAATATTAATGGGATGGGAAACCATTTCCCACACAGCTCCATCCGGAAACTCACTGCAAAATTTACCCATGGACATGCTTGCACCACATATTACCCTGATACCTTCCCATGTGAATTCTTTTTTTTTTCATGCTTGGAGATGATCAGTTAGTACAAATAGTGGAAAAGAAGCTAAAGCATACAAGAAATTACATGAGCCTTGGATTAGATTTTAAATAGTATCATCCTTTTAGAGGCATGTTTTTGAACCCATGATAACGGTTGCTTGAAGTTTTTCATGACTAGATACTGATTACTTACCGCACAGGGGTGACTGAGTTCTGGCTGAATATAATTTGCTTGCTAAGGACACAGAAAAAACATATTTATATTATAGCTAGGGTCCCTAAAATGGGAGGAAATATTAGGATAGTTTTTAGATTCAATTGAACAGTTCATAGGACAGAAAAAGGGGAGGAATATGAAAAGAAGTTATCTAGTAGGGTCTTCTGATTGGTGCAGTATCACAATGCAGAGTGCACCTGTCAAAATATGTCTCACAAGGAAAGACTTAGAGTTATTATATTATTTAAGCACATAAGAACAGAAGAATGGCTGTACTCGCTCAGACCAAAGGTCCATCTAGCCTAGTAGCCTGTCCATCGACGGTGGCCAGCACCAGGTGTCCCAGAGAGGGTGGACCGAAGTCAATGATCAAGCGATTTGTCTCCTGCCATCCTTCTCCTGTCTCTGACAAACAGAGGCCAGGGACGCCATTTCTATACCAAGGACAGGGTAGGCCCATTGCTCAATGAGGAGGGAGAAACGATAACAAGAAACGTGGAAATGGCAGAGGTGCTTAATGACGTCTTTGTTTCGGTTTTTGTCAAGAAGATGGATGGTGATGGGATGCTTAAAACAGAGAATGCTAGTGGAACTGGGATAGGCTTAGAAGTTAAAATAAAAGAACAAGTTAAAAATTACTTAGAAAAGTCAGATGTCTGCAAGTCACCAGGGCCTGATGGAATGTCTAGAATCCTCAAGGAGCTGACAGAGGAGGGCTATGAGCCTTTAGCTATCATCTTTGAAAAATCATGGCAGTAGGGAGAGTTTCCAGAAGACTGGAAAAGGCAACTATTGTGCCCATCTATACAAAAGGAAATAAAAACAACCCAGGAAACTATAGACCATTTGGTTTAACTTCTGTGCCAGGGAAGATAATGGAGCAAGTAATTAAGGAATTCATCTGGAAGATAAGGTGATAGCCAGCATGGATTTGTAAAGAATAAATAATCTCAAACCAATCTGATAGCTTTCTTTGGTAGGATAACAAGTCTTGTGGATAAGGGAGAAACAGTGGATGTGGTATACCTAGGCTTTAGTAAGGCATTTGATACAGTCTTGCATGACCTTCTCAATAAACTAGGGAAATACAATCTAGATGGGGCTACTATAAGGTGGGTGCATAACTGGCTGGATAACCGTTCTCATAGTAACAGTTTGCAGTAACAGTTGGGACGTTACATTTTAAATATGCAGTAGGAGATCATTTAAATTTAAATGAAGCCGCGATTATTTTAATCACGGCTTCATTTCCCTCTGCCCATCTGTCTAATCTACATGCCTCTGCCGACAGAGGCATGTCTCTTCTTTTCTCTTGCATATCATAACATGTTAGAACAGCTAATTATAAACTTGACTATAACTCTGACACAAATGTAGGGCCCTGCACAAATACAAAATTTATATCCAGTGACATGGATACCTGTGGACATAAATCAGCAGGGCTCAACAATTAGAGCAATCTACTCGCCCATGGCGAATAGATTTTAGCCCGGTGCGGCCGCACACCGCGGTCGGTGCATGTGCAGAGCGGTCGATGCATGCGCAGTGCAGTCTGCACATGCGCAGCATCCCAAACGGCGTGGCTGGCGAGCAGGGCTCACCGCCGCTTGTCAAGCCCTGTAAATCAGTATCCACAGATCTGCAGGGCTCTCCCAGGAATGACAGGGGCCAAAGCAGCAGCTTGTCAGGTCGTCACTCCCAGGAGCCAGCGCCCTGCACTGGTAACTCCTCTGGCAGGGCTATGCCACCCCCAGCCCTGCCCACGGGGCACCTGCCCACAGGCACAGCTGCCACTGAGCCTGTTGCCACCCCAATAGCCATACTGCAGAAGCTAGAAGTGCAGAACTCTATGCAGATATGGATTTAGATCCACAGATGTAAATTTTGTATTACACAGAACTGTACAAACCGTATCCTCCGCTCTTTCATCCTATACTAGCATAGTGCATGTTCGCTTTTGGTGACTGTTTGTGTGTCAGGTAGGGATGCAATGCAATAACTGTTTAAATAATTAACCAATAAGCATGAGCTTAATTAGTTACCAGTCACACACCACTTCCTGGCACTGCTCCCAGAGAGCTGGCTGCCACCCCACTCTGTTTGGGCTGCTCCCCCTGAGACAGAACCATCTTCAGGAGCGGGGCTAGAAGGTGGGAGTTGGTACCTGCCAGGAGCTAACTTAAAAGCCGGCTTCATGAGCACCGGCTCCGGAGGTGCCCGCTGCCACCCCACGCTGCAGGCTCTGCAGTATAGCGCCCCTGCTCCCAGGGAGCCAGGCAGGCGGCAGGCTCTGCAGTATAGCGCCCCTGCTTTCAGGGAGCCAGGCGGGCAGCAGGCTCTGCAGTATAAAACTTACACTACCGAGTCCGCGGCATGTCACCACTAAGATTTTCAGCAGTTACACGGTTACTCAATTAATTGCTTTTTCACATCCCTTGTCTCAGGGAACTGATAATAAATTCTAGCCAATAACCAAACCAACACAGTGATTGCTGCCAGAGAATCATAGAACCATAGATCTGGAAGAGACCTCAGAAGGTCAAGTCCAGCCCCCTGCTCTAGGCAGGACCAATTCCAACTAAATCAACCCGGCCAGGGCTTTGTCAAGCTGAGACTTAAACACCTCCAGGGATGGAGACTCCACTACTTCCCTAGGGAACCCATTCCAGTGCTTCACCACCCTCCTAGTGAAATAGTTTTTCTAATATCCAACCTGGACCTCTCCCACCACAACTTGAGACCATTGTTCTGCCATCCGTCACTACTGAGAACAGCCTCTCTCCAGCCTCTTTGGAACCTCCTTCAGGAAGTTTCAGGCTGCTCTCAAATCCCCCCTCACTCCTGCAGACTAAACAGAGCGCCGTTCTGGTGTGGTAACAATGAAGCTAAAACCTCCTCATCAATAAAACTCGTATTTCTCTAGCAGAGCTACGGCCTGTTGGTGACTGAGCCTGAGCTCACTGCAGCCTGAGTAGCTGCGTCAGTCGGGGTGACCCTGCCTACCCCACACAAGCCCCAGGGGCGGACGGCTGCTCTAGGACATTCCTTCCAGCGGCTGAGGATCCCAAGCGTCCGCGTGGATGTGGTGCTGGGGAGCGAGGAGTGAAATCCAACAGGGCGCCTCCAGGGCTAGGCCAGGGGTCGGCGTCGCCACAAGCAGCACGTGAGCCAATTTTCACTGGCCCGCGCCGAGGGCTCAGCCCCGCCCCCTGTCCCTT